GAGAAGAGAAGAGAAGAGAAGAGAAGAGAAGAGAAGAGAAGAGAAGATAGAACATTGCAGTCTGTAGTGTCCAACAAGGTCCCACAAAGGGCAGAACTGAAAGGTTGAACAGGTGGTGCCAATGGAATGGAGGAGTGGCCTTATCCCTGATACACGTGGGAATAAAGCTAAGATGCCCTTCCAGAGCTAAGAACCCTCCCTAGGAGCCAACACCAACAAAACACCAACATTCTGACAAGGGATGAGGAAAGTGACACCCCCAGTCTCTTGATAAGATTGAGCAGCTGAGGAGGAAGCCACAGAGTAATGAGTCCTGTTTCTATTTAACCTGAAACTAAGGCACCAAGGACTTCTTGAGACGTGTGTGGCAGCTAATACCATCCCACCCAGCTTGGGGCTGCAGAAATGGACACTGAGCTTCTCTGAGAGGCCATACCTTGGAGCTGAGGAAGAAGACATAGGGGTCCAGCCTCTAACATAACATCAAATCCTGTCACCCAGGTTAAGTCGGGTTAAACCATAAGATAGTCATTCAATAAACATTTACTAATTTAATTAATTAATTAATAATTAATTAAAAATTTACTGCTATATGCCAGGCACTCTGCCAAGAACCAGGGATACAAAGAAAGATAAAAGACAGCACCAGCTCTCAAGGAACCCACAATCTAATGGGGGAGACAACATGCAAATAACCATGTAGACATGCTATATGCAGGATAAATAGGACGTAAACAACAGAGGGAAGGCACTAGAACTCAGATGGAATGGGAAAGTCTGCCTGTAGAAGGTGGGATTTTAGCTGAGGCTTGAGAGACAGGGGTCAGCTGCTCCAGGTCTCAGAAACACAAAGTCTCACAATGCTTTCCTCCTACACTTACTGTTCTCTATTATATTTGAAACTCTCAAACACAACCAGAAGAGAATGATCCAAGTCTCAGGCAATTCCCTTTTCAGAGATACCTTAGATGTTTAAGAACAGTCTTAACTCATACAGAACAGTCTGTACTAGAATGAGAACTCCCCAACCACAGAGGAGCCACCAGGTAGAGCCACATCACACCAGGTAAACAAGGGAAAGGACAATCCCACCACTCTAAGAATTATACCAGGAAAGACACAGAGGGGAAACTTCACAAATAGTACAGTGACAACCTTCCTGGTCCCTATAGGCTTTCTTGCTTAAGTCTGTAATCTCTCTCCACAAACAGCCATATTTCCTCAGGGTCCATTTGCAATCAGTTTAACTATTTACTGGAACTAACAGCTATTCTAGGTGGTGCAACGGGTAAGAAAGATCTCTGGACTGAGTTCAAATCCTATCTCAGACACTTACAAACTTTATGACCCCAGGAAAGCCACTTAACCTCTCTCAGTCTGAGTTTCCTCATCTGTAAAATGGAGATTATACTAGCACCTACTTCACAGGTTTGTTGTGAGAATCAGATGAGATAATATATATGTAGCAATTTGCATACTTTAAAGTACTCTATAAATTCTAGCTATTATTATCACTATTAATTACAAAGTCAAGATTCCGGGGCAGCTAGGTGGCATAGTGGATAGAGCCTGCCCTGGAGTCAGGAGGATCTGAGTTCAAATTCAGCCTCAGACCAAACACTTGACATTTACTAGCTGTGTGATGCTGGGCAAGTCACTTAACCCCAACTGCCTAGAAAAATAAATAAAAAAAAATAAAAAGTCAAGATTTCAAAAGATCATAGACTAGAATGTTGGGCTGAATCTAGTAAGACATTTAATAGGAATAGATCCTATGATTTATGAGCATAGATTTAGAGCTAGAAGAGACCGTAGGAGAAATAGGAAATAAGCAATTATTTTGTTGTTCAGTCATTTCAGTTGTGTCCAACTCTTCATGACCGCATTTGGGGTTTTCTTGGCAAAGATGCTGGAGTGGTTTGCTAGTACCTTCTCTAGCTCATTTTACAGAACTCAATGGGAATATTTTTCCCATGACAGTTGGTTGACCATATGTTGGATATACTGTACTAAGAGTTCTATTTCAGGAAAATGATAAATGTTAAAGGGGATGTAGGAAAATTGGAACTCTGATGTACTGTTGCTGGAGTTGTGAACTGATCCAACCATCCTGGAGGGCAACTTGAAACTATGTCCAAGGGCTATAAAAAATATGTATACCCTTTGACCCAGCAATGAGACTACTAGGTCTGTATCCCAGAGAGATTAAAAAAAAAAGGAAAAGGAAAAGGACCTATTTGTACAAAAAAATACTAATAGCAACTCCTTTTATAATAGCTAAGAATTGGAAATTGAAGGAATGCACATCAATTGGGGAATGGTTGAACAAGTTGTGGTATATAATTGTAACGGAATACTATGTGCTATAAGAAATAATGAGCAGGATGATTTCAGAAAAACCTAGAAAGACTTGTGCAAACTGAAGCAAAGTGAAGTGAGCAGAATCAGGAGAAAATCATACACGGTAAGAGCAATATTGTATGAAGATCAGTTGAGAATGGCTTAGCTATTCTCAGCAATACAATGATCCAAGACAATTGTGAAGGACTCATGATGAAAAATGCTATCTATCCACCTCCAGAGAAAGAACTGGTGGAGTCTGAATGCAGATCAAACCACACTATTTTTCACTTTCTTCATTTTTTCATGGGGTTTTTTTGTCTGTGTTTTTATTCACAACATGATTAAAATGGAAATATGTTTTGCCTAAGTGTACATGATTACACAACCTATACCAAATAGTTTATTGTCTCAGGAAGTAGAGGAAGGGAAGGAGGGAATTTGGAACTCAAAATTTTTTTAAAAGAATGTTAAAAATTGTTTTTACATGCAATTGGGGAAAAAAATGAATTTTTTCTAAATAAAATACTTCTTTTTCAGGTTCGAATGGGACTTGATGGCCTCCATGGTCCCCTCCAACTCTGAAATTCTATCATTTTCCAATTTTATGAAATATCTATAACACAGGGCAGCTAGGTGGCACAGTGGATAGAATGCCAGGCCTGGAGGCAGGAAAAATCATCTTCTTGAGTTCAAATCCAACCTCAAACACTAACTAGCTGTATGACCCCAGGAAAGTCACTTAACTCTGTTTGCCT